CCCCCCCTCCACCGTCCGATCCATTTTGGATCTCTCGCCGGAGAGTTTTGGGGTGTCTTAGCTCCAAGTCCTCCACCGCCCAATGGGGAACTTTAGTATTTCTTTGAATGCCGTACCAATAGGCATTAACCTTAGGTAAGCTTGTGCTTACTGTGGACTGTACCCTCCTCATCCTCTGGGGGAGGTAGAGGGGGGGGTCTGCTAGTTTCCACATCACTCGCTACCTGTAGATAACGTGCTGATGTACTCGCGGCGATCTGAAGAAACAATCAATCAACAAACAACACTGCAGTGGGGGAGCGTCAACAAGGCCGGTTGATTAGCACCGGTGGCCCTGTCTAGCGCCAGTGAAAGTACTGGGTACAAACTGAATCACCAAGTGAGTCGGCACCGCCCCTACATAGGGCAAGCGTTCGAAATTTCATTATTAATAGGTAGTTTTCTGCGCAAAACGAGACAGCACCCACCCCCTGCCATAAAGGGTGAAGGGTGCTTTACGGAAAACATCTCGTGGAGAGGCTCCCTTAGACCTACCCGCTCTCTTGGCCGTTGGGGAGCTGTCGAGCCATGACGGTCGGTTTGGGGGGGGATCACTCGCGCAATCACGGGAATATTCGCTAGTTGTTGCTGCCGTTCATGCGTGCCGAATACTGCTGTACACACAGCACCATCCTGCTGTTCTCTCCCGACACCAAACAAGCCCTCTGGAGCACACAAACCCAAGTTCATGTGTGCCGACTGCTGCTGCACAACATTACGCACAGCAGTACTGTACCTTGCAAAGACTCTCTCTCCCCAAACACACACAAAAAACAACTCTCCCGAACACAAAAACTACATCGTTCGAAAGGCTCACCAGACAGCGACCTTCATGAGGCCGGAGGGAGCCGCCACCATATCCTCCTGCAGCGCGGCGGCGAGCTTGTGCACCGCCTGTCCGTGGAACTCCTTGCACTGCCCGATGTACATTATGGTGCCGGACGTGATGCGCTGCGAGAAGAAAAGAACGAACAACAGAGCCAGGGATGAGCGGGATTGAGTGTTCATCATATTTGCCGGACGCGATGCGCTGGGAAGAAGATGGGAAAGAGAGCCCGGAATCAGCAGAAAAATGAAACGCACGAGCGGTCACAAAGCCTATTCACTCTCCGAGTACTAAGTGGGTCCCGAACGGATTAAACGAAATGCACAACGTTATGTAACGCTTGGAAAAAAGAAGGGGGAATAGAATCAGGGATGAGCGGGAAATGAAATGCACAAAGAGCGCCAATAAGCCTATTCGCTCTGTGACAGACTACATATAGGCTGCAAGGAACAACGAACTGAATTCAGCCACAGATGCACGTGCACATTACGATTGTTGCACCAGCAAATTAGCGTGGTCTTGTTTTTTAATGTAAACCATGGAGAACAGCCTCGGCGAGTGAGTGGGCTTCTTAACGTTCTTGTGCATTCTTTTTCCGCCATAACCCTGCTTTCGATGTTACTCGATGGACAGGCTCCTCAGCCCTCTTTCGCATTTCATTCATCACTGACCCCCGCAATCCGCAGTCTTTTAGAGAGTGAATAGACTAGGACATGTTCATTTCATATCCCGGCTTAATCCCTGTACTTTTACCGAACTGCGTAAGAGGGTCAAAGAGAAGCGATTCGCGCTAATACGATGGTCGGAAGCATGGGTAAGCAGGGATGTGAAGCAAAGAAGAGACCAGAATAGTCGTTTCACTCTGCAAAAGATTGTGGATGGCAGGGATCAGCGGGAAATGAAATACGTAGAACATGCATAAAAGGGTTGAGGAACCGTATTGACTCACTGAGAAACATGGAGAGCAGGGAGATAGCAGGAAAAGAAACCCAAAAGAACGTTGACAAGCATTTCACTCACCGAGATGGTTCTCGATGGTTTTCAACATAAAAACAAACGCGCTACTGGTACAAACAAATGTGCACAGCATCCGGGTGTGAATGCTGAACTCAGTTCATAATTTTGAGTAATTTTCGCTTTGGTGCCTGTCACATTTTTGGTCAAGGGGGATACTGCGTGCCAATCGACGCGCATGAAACACGCGGCGGGGTCAGATGTGGGGGTATCTGTCAAGACCAGCAAAGAGAAAAACCACCGACAAAACAAAGAGAGTCGGATCTCAACACCACATACCTACCCAAAGGATCTGCACATGTTCTTCCTCCTCCCCGCAAAAGCAAAACGCGAAGAAAAAATGGACAACCCTCTGTACCACGAAATGTGTACGAGGACGCGTGGAAAATGGCCAAACAAGCAAGGCATGCATGCAAAACATGAGAGTGCGCCCCTTGTGTTATTGTCTCGCCGGCTAACCTGCCACATATTCGCCCTCCTACCGGCGACTTCTCGGCTGTGTGGCCTCTGCCTTTTCGTTTCATGAAGCGTACCAATAACTCATCCCCATGGATCCCCCCCCCCCGTGTTTGCCATCGGGGTTGGGTTTTCGTCGCTTGGCAACGACGTTGTAAAACAAGCCAA